TAAATATATAACAATAAATAAATGATAGTATTTATCAAATAAAACTACATGAACCTGGTAATAATTCAAGCTTACAGTATTTTTTAAAAATGTTGTCTTTTGTTATGGTAAACTTGATATTAAATACCTTTATAAATATCTATTTATTTATTTTGACAATTACAGATACCTGTACTTAATATTGTTATTGATTTCATAACCTAGTATAATTAATACATTTTCTAAAATATCATCAAATAGATTTTATTTAATATACCCTAGTAGTTTTATTTAAAATCAACAAGACCCAATGTTAAGCTAATAAAGTAAATATATCAGATTTTTGAAAATTAATTAATTACAATAGTGTTTACAGTAATTAACAAGTAAAATTAATAGAATTATAAAAGTTGTTTAGTATTATATTAAACATAAAAATAAAAATTTAATCTGGTTGGCATTTAAAAAGAATAATTATATATTTATTTTATAATATGATCGACTGGTGAGTGAGGTTAGGTTAGGTTAGGTTTGATTTATTGATGAAATATTTTTCATTATTTCAGTCCTAAGCCAGCTGGGTCCGATTTACTTTTCACAAATATTGCTAAATATACTATTTTTGTGGCCGTTTATGAGTTACACGTTTGTCATGTAACCTATAGTAAACCATATTTGTAATTACTAAGGTTGCATGGCGCGTAATTTTGCGTAATTTTACGCGTAATTTACGCTGTCAAAAATATTTTACGTAAAATTCAATTCAAGAAAAAATAAAATATTGTTTGTAATTTTGTTAATAAACGCCTTCTGTTGTAGAATTCACACAAAATACCGGAATCAATTGGATAATAAATGTGTGAAACAATTAGTTGAAGTTCAAAATCTGTATAATAGTTCAATTTCTAATGATATCTATTCAGTTTCTTCGGACTCTGATGATTCTGATCAGGGAAATGATAGTGACATTGAAATAATAACTAATTATAACTCAGATTCTGATGTAAATTCCAGTGATATGTCATTTTAATAAAAATCTTGCTTATTTTGATAAATTACGCTAAAATGTAAAATTACGTAATTTTACGCTAAAAATAAATTACGCGTAAGTTTGCATGGTTAGTTATAATAAATATATCCAATTCATACATATTAAGTTTCATTGGTATGAAAACCTATTCATACAATAGTTGTGACTAACCATTGAATTGTGATCTATTGGTTGCAGTGGTTGTGGAATGAAGTTTTGATTAGGATTTGTCATCTATTCTGTGGTCACCCTCTGGTTCAACGGCTGTCACCCCAATGTGTGCCATGTCTTGCAAAACGGTAAATAACATGAGTGTCACTCTTATATCACTCTATGATATTATACCTGAGATTGTGTTTGAATGGGAAGGGTATGAAGTGAAGGGACCGGCATCTGGGTTTGACACTTGGATGGCTGGCACTATGTTTGGCTGACTGGAAGCTGTGTCACCACTGTTTGCGATAGGGGGTTGTGGGTGTGTTTGAGCTTGGCTATTTTCTAAGTCATCACTCGGTGCTAAAGTAGTTGACTGTTGACTGCCGTTCTGTTGGTTTGGCTAAGGATTAATATAATATATATTTAAATAATCAATAATTGATGTCTCCATTAAATTGAACTAGCTTACGGGTGTCATTCTGATGTCCAAACACTTTTGTAGCCTACAGGCGCGGCACCCATTTTTCAGAAAATTACAGTTTCCCCCATTTGGACACACGTCCTGTTATGAGTCAATTAGTTTTAAATACATTTCTTACATATACTTAAAATCTATTGTTTTATTTGTATTTCATAAATGTATAGTAAATGGAAAGTCATAAATGTACAGTATATCATTAAATAACTTTTAAAATAAACTAATTATCTTTAATTAATATAAATATTATATTTAAATGAATATACTGTATAACATAAATTTAAATTTAGTTTACCTGTAAATGATGATTACTCATAAACCACCGAGCATCTCTTAGGCACGTCAATTTACCACTCCCTTTGGGAACATAATTCTCACCTATTGACCAAAATATTAGTGTATATTAAGATATTATCAATAAAAGTGAAAATTTAAAAATACGTACCAAGTTTAATTTTGTTGTCCTTAGGGTTACTGTTAATTCGGAGGCAAATAAGGCATTTATTATTATCTGCCATTGTTTTACATTTAATTTTCAACACTTATATTGTATGACAATTTTAAGTTATTCAAATTTACACTATTACTACATATACTTATAAGTACAAACACAATTAGATTTATTTATTTAAAATCGCGCATTTAAAATAATTTCTACACTTTGATATTGCAATCACCGTAAAATTAATTAAAAATACTGTATGCTTCACATTACAAATACAAATCACATAAAGCGGATTTATAATTATATAAAGTTATTAGATGTGCGACCAGTGAGTGAATGAATGGTATAATCAAACCAAATGAACAATATATACACCATTCAATTGATGTGTGTTTATGGAATAAACATGGGATGTATGTGCGAAAGGGTTGTCTTATGTGCCATTACGTAACTTTGTTTGTTCGTTACGTCAGACACATATAAACTTATTTAAAATAGTTTTCCCTCAATATAACACATTGCAACATTTTTCCATAAATTATTTAATAAAACGTAAATAAGTATTTACTTCTACACATTTGTTTGAGAAATACAGTATTCAAAATATTGTGATGCATGATAATAAATATTCCTTAATATATTTACGGTAAATAGAAAAAATGAATTAGATTTGCAACGATTATACTAATTATTACTGTACTTAATACCGGTATTAATATATTGTATATAAGGAATAAAATAAGACTGAATTTTTTTAACTTGTTTGAATTAAAATTGAAATATTTAAATATTTAAAATCAATAATATGTCTATGATTTTGAACAAATCTATTTCCAAAAATACAGTAATATATTACTACCGGTAATTATTTAACTTATTTAAAATTATATTTTTCATATAAACACAATGTCCATTTATTTGTAAACAATTTGTAAACAGTATAGTATATCTGTGAATTCATGATCAAAAATGTTTTAACATGTAATTAATAATTAATAAAATACATTAATAAAATGAGATTCAAATTACTGTAGCACATAAATTTATACAAGCATAGTTTATTGTATGTTTAAAATCCAAATACTTGAAGCTACTATTTTTAAATAGACTTTACTAGTCTCTTATAAAGACCCGGATTAAAGAATATTTCTCTTGATGTGTCCACAGAAATCGTAACAATTTTCGGTTGATCATTATCACCATGCTCCGATATAAGTCGTTTGCGTGTCTATTAAATAATTATAGTTAATAAATCAAATAATGATTAAAATATACTGTAATATAACAAACCGTGTTAACTAAATTAGCTAAATGTAGATTACAAGCATACTGTGCAATCGTATAACTGAATGCCTGTCCAAATAGTGTAATATTTTCTGTCGGATTAAACCACAAATTCATATCTATATTCAATAAAATTAATAATTTAAGTACTAATTACAATACCCATAGACATTGAATTAATTAAAAAAGTACATACTGGTTTCGGTACAGTTAGAGTGTGCATTAATGAGATAGGTGCGATTATTGCAATTTAGTGACATGTTTTCAATTTGTTGAGGTTTTCCTGTTGTATAATGTTTTTAAATATTTTAATAAATTTAATAAAATCAAAGACTCTCTCTCTCTCTCTGTTTTATAAAA